GTTGAATGTTTGGAGAACTACAAGAAGAACTTCTTTCTAGGATTTTTTGAAGCTGCAGTCAAGCATTGCCGCATTTTAGGCGCAGAAGTGGTATTAGGTATCTGTTAGCCTGTTGACATTTAAGCGGTATATAACTCGCATTTTATATAATCGCAATTCTTTAGCTAGATATGGTTGCTGTTTATAAATGTCCTGCAGGCGATCTGTTGAACCCTTCACAAATACAAACAATTCCATATTTGATTTTGATCGGTCTTATCGGTTATAAGGCAGCTATATGCTACAGTGGTCCGATCTGAACAATTTCTGTGCATATTGTAGCGTTGCCTTGGACAATAGTCTATGCCAAATTTTCTGAAGATATCTCTTCGAATAAAAAAGTTTCCTATTAAAAGACTTGATGTTGATCAGTCAATTTGTATGACAGCTATAGCTTATAGTGGTATGATATCAGCAGTTCGAAGAAATGAGCAGCTTCTTTGACAGAAGAAGACATGTGGAAAATTTCAGATTGATATCTCAAACTGAGAGACTAGTTCGAATATAGATAGGCAGAAGGACAAATTGGAATGGCTAGCTCGACACAGTCTATCATCCTGATCATTTAGATATATGCTTTATAGAGTATTCGACTTTTCTTCTGGATGTTACAAACTTTGTGGGAAAGTTTTGCTATTCAAGGTATAAGAAAACAGGTATGTTTTCTTTAACAAAGTATCGAAATATATATATGTATTTACAACTTATGTAGTGAAATTGATATTTGTCAACAAATAGATATCTGTTAACTATATATTATATCGGGGTCCCGCAATTTTTCGCGACTTGTCATTCGGGATTCTGTCAGTTCATTCATTCATTACCAAACAAATGTTCATATAATATTTTCCATTGTAAGTAGATGCCTTATATTGTATGATTTATACATGCCTTCATCGAAAAGCATACCATATCATATACATATGTATTCAGCAAAAAATATAATTCCCAACCAATGAAAAAATCTTTTTATAACAAAGTTGCATCAGCTGATTTTTTATCTCATTGCAAATCATATACGTAAATATAAAATCCCGATAAAAAATTTTAGGATCCCGTTAGGATAACGTATTATCACAAATATCGTATTTAAAAAAAAAATCCCGAAAAAAATTCGGGATCCCGTCAAAAACTTTTTCATGCCGAAAACATTCTTTCATTTATAAAAATTGCGTTTTGCATTCAAATTTCGATAATCCCTAATTTTAGTTTCAAAATTGTAAATCCCGAAATCTTAAAATTTAATAAAGTCGTTTTGAAATTTCGTGATTTCGACTACAATTGGCAAAGAAGTGCGATTATCTAATCATATATACACATTAACCTATACATTTAAATTTTATTTAATACATTTTTTTCACACATTCTTTACGAGTAAATAGCTGCTCCTTCCTGAAGAAGACCTCATAAAAAACCAAAAAAACGCTTCAAGTTTGTAATTTGCCACAACACGACTTTTGCATTGCCCAACTTCTGCTTACCCACATACCTATATGAGTGTGTACGAATATATTTTGTTTCGTAAAGAAATTATAAAATCAAGAATTATTCGCCAACACCAACAAAGTCTCGAAGCTCTTTGCGGCCTTCAGCACACAGCGAACTTGCTCGTTGCTTAAGTAATGTTAACCTACGTCAAAAAATGCCGTCGCTTTGCTGACTAAAACAAAAAAATATTATATATATAAAGTAACAACAAACTGCGCAATCAAGCAAATTTTCTTGCCGCCCAGCTTTCGAAGAAGTAACTTAAGTTTCATTCCCTTCCTCCACCGGCGTAACCACATAGAAAACCAAGTGAAGAAAAAGGCAACGTAGAGACTTCAAAATTAAGTTGAAAACACTTTCAAGTGGCAAATGCCACACCATGCCGTCGTTTAAAGCTCGCGTTCGGAAGGGTTAAAAAGTTGCAGCGCCACACAAAAATTAACGAAAAAGAATTAATACAAACTCAGCTATTTGGGAAACTTTTTTCAAACTGGCGCCTTGTGTTTAATTTTTCTTTAGCAATACCCTTCACTCTCATACGTTTTTCTTTTTTCTTATAATTTTTAGTATATTATTTAATTTTTTCTTCTTGCTATCATCAGTTTTCTTCGGTTTGTCATCAAATTGCCTAAAGTCTTTCACAACAATCAGCGCCCAGCTGCGCGTCTTCCCCTTTCTCTTTTGCTCGCCAATCAACGTGGCATAAGTTTCATAGGCATATCATCAGCGCTGATGAGAATCGCATGAAAATTTTATGAGTTCGCCACTTAAGCGTAATTGAAAAATTTGATCTTCCAAAAGGCTTTGAGGCTTTTCAAAAAGTTATTGGCATAGCTTTTGTTGCCTTGTTGGGAAGAATGTGAGCAAATTGTCGTTAAGGCTATGAAGCTTTATGTAAGTAAAAGGAAGGAGAGTCGACGAAAAGATATCAGATATAATTTTTACTTTTGCCGTTTCGATTTTTAAGATTTTGCGATTTATTTAATTAAATATATTTTTATATCTTTCAAGCCCGCGAAATGGTAGATCAAGCACTGACTAAAGGTTTTAATATTTTTCAAATCTTCACCATATCGACAAAGCAAATTTATTTTTGTGTTGAGCGGTATTATTCTGCGTTTAAAAACCTCTGTCGAATACATTTCAATTTCTTACCGCTAAACGATTATAAAATATGTTTTATAGAATACCAACCTTTTTATCGTAAGCATTGATTTTTGCTGAGAGAAATATATTGCAAAAGATTCAACTACTTCTTCACTAAAAACTATAAATCTGTAGACCTATTGATCGCTGATGCTTCGCCCTTGTTTCATCTCCACATTTCTATCAAAAGTTCAAAAATTATAGATCTGTTTCATCAAACAAACGATGTATCAAATCTCTCAGAAAAAAACTTTCTGCCAGTGTCGGAAAGGTAAAACAATGTTTCATATTCTAGATATAAATAAGCTTCTAATTAAATTCTATTCGGAGTCGACTTAAACATGTTTGGAATACTCTATTCCACTGTCCTTCCCAATCCGATGTAATCGGGACATGGGTATCCACTCTTGCGAGCTCGTCGACTAATGAAGTAGCTTGATGCTTGATACTGTCGCTCTGATGTCGGAGTAAATGCTCACCACTCTAAAAGAGGCTGCTCTTCGAAGCAATACACCTATTGCTACCCTAATGACAGTCAACTCTGCTTTAAAAACGCTACATTGATCCAGTGGCCTAAAACTGTGTTTTAGGGAGAGCTTCTTATAAAATATTTTTCTTCAATTTGCTCTCCAGAGACTTCGCCCCAGGCACATATGCCTTTTCAGTATGGGAGCAAAGAAAAAGCTATCAGCAGTACATTTTGCATTGATCTAAGTTTTTAGCGATGCTTCAACTGCAGGAGGAAAGAATTTCAGAATCTCCAGTTTGGATTTTTTTATATACTTAGCTTCTTTGAGACTTACAGCGACGACAGCAGAACACCTGCCGGCTACATCGACGGGTGCTTAATATTGAATGTCATTGTTGGCGTTGTTTGTAGAGCACCTCAGATGTTAATAAGAGCCGCTCTTTAAACATGTTTAAACTTCTTAGCGAGAGTCGTCAGTCCTACAAAGTTGATAGTTCACGGTATCTTTTATATAGTTATATAGTCGAAGTATCGGTGTTAAGTTAATTGAAAGCAAAACGAATTTCGGGCCACCCTGTATAATGGTTACGAACAGCAAAAATCAAGAAAGCGTTACTTGGACCTCTAAATTTATTTAGGTTATGTTAGAATAAGGTCAGAGTTTTCGGTCTTGAAGGGTCTCATAAATATATAGTTCATATTTTAATTATCCTTATTGTATAACCTAATACATCTAAGCATCATAAATCGTCATTAAAAATATATTTCTATTATAAACAGCTACAAAATAAGCCATTAAAAAGTATAAACAATCATTAATAGTTAATAACAATAATTCATAGACATCAAAGAACACTTTTTCTTGTCCTTGTTCCAAACAACTCTACCGAGCGCATACACGGATACTAAAGGATGAAACATCAAAGGGAAAACGGTACACACACACACCACTACAAACACACATGCTACTACGCATACATTAGCATAGAATCGAACAACGAATTCCAGCAGCTTTAGCTAATCGAAAATCAAAAACAACACTAACAACAGCCATCGCCAACTCCCGCCCCACCAATGTGGCATATTATCCCATCAGCTCAGGCACTTCAGTCACGCGCTCAAAAGCGGGTTTGTTTGAGTTTTACGCAACTTTTTACCAACTTTTGATTTGCTTGTCTCTTATGAGTCTACCATAGAGTGCTGTTTTTTTTTTTTTTTTTGTGTAAGTGTTTGGGATTTGTTGCCTTTTTGCTGATTCGGCAAGCGCGGAGACACACAAGGACACAGGCGCAAACATATCAAGTCAATCAAGCTGCTGACAAGTGGGCGCGGGCGGGCTTGAGGCGCAACGAGATGCAAATGCCGCAAAAATACTCGCATAAAATCAATTCAAGTGTATAATTGCGATAATCTGCTTTTAAGTAGTTAAATAAATAAAGTTAATTTGAAGAAGATGATTTCAGTTAAACTTATATCACGCACTTAAGTCGAGAGGGTTTGGAGAATTCTAGAAAACGTGGTTGAGCTCTTTATAGATTTAAGAGAAGGGTAAACGGAGTTTTTAGTTGTGTGTGAGATAAAGTAGTATTAAAAAATAACAGGATAATACAATAGGAAGCTGAAAGGTTTAAATGATTCTCTACTGAGAAAATAAAGAAGAATAATATGTGTTAGCTTTCTTATAGCAATTATTTAAGAAATATATTTAAAAATTATATTTAAATATTATATCATATTTTGAATTTTATACATAATTATTACCCAGTCTTTACATATATCTTTGCAGCTCTTTCTCGTACTTCCGCTATTTATTTAACTAATCTCTAACTCACGTATTATTTTACTCTACTTCTTCCAGCCGTACAGCATGAGCGCGGTCCACGTAAACCGAAGCTACATCCACAACTGCACCACCATCACCCCCATCATCCGCATCATCATCATCATCATCATCACCATCACAACGGTATGGCGCATCACCATCCCGGCCATCATCTGCCCGTCTCACTGGTCACCAACGTGTCGGCTTCCTTTAATTACACTTCACACATTTCTACCCACCCTGTGCAGGGTTTCCAACCACCAGCACATCCGACCGCCTTCCATCATCCCGGACATGCGCTGGCGCAACATAGCGTTTTGCAAAATGGCGCCGTTGCCGTGCCACCACATCCCCCATTGCCATTTCCACCGCATCTCTTGCCGCATATGCATCACAATCTCATTGCGGAGGCCACCAGCAAATTGCCCAACATTTCGGCTGCCGCGACAGCCACAACAGCTGCCACAATTGTGGGTGCGGTGAATGCTGCGGCGGCGGCCGGACAGCCACCAGCAACAAAGCATTTGCCGCTGTCACTTACCACTGGCATGCCTACTTATGACCTGACAAATAGTGGCGCTTCTTCGGGTGCGGCTAGCGGTGGCGCTGCCAGCACCACCAGCTTGGAGTTCTATGCAAAGTCAACTGTCACGACACACAACTATTCGTCGCCATCACCAACGCCTTCCATACAGTCCATATCGAGTATTGGCGGTCGCAGCTCGTTGGGTAGTGAGAGTCCGCGTGTAAATGTGGAGACGGAAACGCCGTCAGCAACACCGCCGTTGTCGACTAGCGCCTCACCGGTGCCTTCGCTGACGGACACTAATATTACTGGTGGACCATCCTCACCGATTATCAATATCAATGGCAATAGTAATAACAACAATAATAGTGAGTCCATGGATAACAACAACGATAACAGCATAAACAATCAGAATTGTAAGCCGGGTAGTGGTGGCAGCGGCAGTTTGACTGCCAGTAGTGGCACACCATCGCGTTCGTCACCGCTCTCCAGTCATTCGCCAACAGCTCATCAGAGCGTTGCTGGCATGTCTAACAGTTCTAGCTCGTCTGCCGCTGCTGCGGCGCTCTATGCAGCACGTCAAAATGGTTTTCTTGAGCTCTTACTCAGCCCTGATAAGTGTCAAGAGATCATACAATACCAAGTGCATAATTCAATATTATTTCCGGCTTTGCCACAACAATTAATCGGAGTGGACTCGCGTCTGCTGTCATGGGAAATGCTGCAGGAAACTACTGCACGTCTACTCTTCATGGCTGTGCGTTGGGTTAAGTGCTTAATGCCATTCCAGACGCTAACCAAGAATGACCAACACTTACTACTGCAGGTGAGTCTATTTGCAGGTAGTTTTCAGAGTACTACCAGAATAAGAGATTGCCATAATATGTTATAGAGAAAACCACAAGAGAGTGTAAATCTCCTGATTTTTATCGAGGTCGAAGTCTAACCCAGAAACTTTTAAATAAATTATTTAGGAACGATTATTGGGTTCATTAAAATCTTGGCATGTGTTCTGTCCCTATTTCTTTGTTACAATACAAGTAGAAGATGATGTAGAAGAACTCAAACTAAACTAGAAGAACTAGAACTAAAACTTTGTTTCTAAAATTCGGTGTTCTGATGGTTAAAAGTTTCCGAGCTATAATGGAGCCTGGATAGTTTGAAGGTGAAGTTTGTCGGTAGAAAAATTTTACGCAAGGATCTATGGTGTAGTCTGTCAGAGAGGAATGACCGCTAGATAAACAATAAAAAAGTTTGTCTCTCTGAAGATTCCCTAGCGAATGACGGTCTCAGCAAGAATCTGCATAAGTCCAAAAAGCACCTCACCTAATTTCTAAATATATGTAGTTAAAAACAATACTTTAACCTTAAGTAACTTAAATTAAAACTCAACCACATTTAGAACATCATCCCTAAAAAATTTTTTTTTTCTTTAACAAATATATATATAAATCTATAAATATATAAATCTCTTCCCCAACCATGCTGCCACAGGAATCATGGAAAGAGTTATTTCTACTTAACCTCGCGCAATGGACCATCCCACTAGATCTTACGCCCATACTCGAATCACCCCTCATAAAAGAGCGCGTACTACAAGACGAAGCCACTCAAGTCGAAATGAAGACCATACAAGAGATACTCTGTCGTTTTCGTCAAATCGCGCCCGATGGCAGTGAAGTTGGCTGCATGAAAGCAATCGCGCTCTTTGCGCCCGAAACGGCAGGTCTCTGTGACGTGCAACCCGTTGAGATGTTGCAAGATCAAGCACAGTGTATACTCTCCGATCACGTACGCCTGCGTTATCCACGACAAGCGACACGTTTTGGACGTTTACTGCTGCTGCTGCCATCGTTGCGTACCATACGCGCCGCCACAATCGAGGCGCTCTTTTTCAAGGAGACTATCGGCAATGTGCCGATAGCGCGTCTCTTAAGGGACATGTATTCCATGGAGCCGGCACAGGTTGACAACAAGTGAAGTGGATAAACATTAGTGCGAATGATCGATGCTTGAGCTGGCATTACGAGGATAACAGTAATTGTAATGGGAGCACAAAAACAAATAAGATTGGAGCGACAGTGGACGTGACTGCTGGTGCACTCGCGTACGAGCTGTTGGTACTGCTGTTGTTGTTACTGCTGGTAGTGAAGCGCTTGTTACTCTTGTTGTTGCATTCAGCTTCTATCGGCGTTACGTGTGTATGCATGCGAGTGGGCGCGCCCAGCTGTCGAATTTCACATCGCTTCCGCGCCCTGCTTCTTCTTCTTCCAACTGTAATCACGTTGATATTTTCTGTTGATATGACACACTAGTTGTTGTTGCTGTGGCATACTACGTATGCTGTAACTATATTTTTCTAATGTCGCAACGCCATACGCATATGTGTGCGTGTGTGTAAATAAGGAAGTAACAGTTAAATAAAAATGCCGTTAGAAATATATATTTTGTATATATGTACATAGGTGTTTGTGCTTGTGTGCGCGCGCTCGAGTGCCAGCAAATGATTTATTCCGCTGGCAATTGCTTTATTTATTTTCCATTCGACATTTTGCCCGCGACCTATACCGCTAGCGCCGCGTTTTTTACCGTTAGCTGCTACTTTTGAATTTTTTTTTTTGTTTGCTGCTTGCAATTTGGCCCTTTGCGCTTATCATGTATGTATATTTTTATGTTCTCTATTTTTTATATTTTTTTTGTATTTCTTTTTCCGCTTTTATTTTGTTATCATCACATCGTCTCACAGCTCACCTGTGCCGCCACCCAACGCTCCAATGCTCAACTATCTACCCATTCCTCACTCTATTGCTTGCTCGCCGCTTTTCTGCTTCTTTTTCTCTTCGTATGCATTCGTGAACATATCCGTCGGCTATTTATGCTCAATCTCGCTTTGGAAAAATGTACGGACTTTACATTTGATATTTTAAATTTATGATTTTTTCCATCTACCGCCTGCTCCGCGTACCTCTCGCCTCTCTTTTACCTTCAGTTACCTATTGGCCCGCCTCCCACCACCAAATCCTGCTTTTCACTTCGTTGCCGTGCTGCATCGCGTTTCGCATTGCATTGCAAGTTTAGAAATAATGAAAAAATAACTTTGCCGCCGGTCTTTCTAAATTCAATTCAATTGGACACTCCAACTGTTGTTGCGCGGATATCAAAACAGTTAGTCAGCAAATGTAGCACGAAGAAATAAATTACCGAAAATCGTCGATAAATTGCGAAAAATCGCGCTTACACCTCGCACAGCTGTGCTATTTTATTAACTTGTCGATTTATACAATAGTTGATTTCATTTAAGTTTTTCTTTTTATTCTTTATTTTCATATATTTTCGTCATAAAAAAGAGCGCCACAAAACATTCGCATATTTTTTCAAACACCTAAAAATGCATTTTGGCACCAAAAAACCGTCAAAGAAATGTTTGAAAAATATTTCAATATAATATAAAATTTAATGTTAACACCAGAGTTGTTATTTTAATGTGTAAAAATATGACGAATACGCGAAAGGTGAAAATAAACGCAAAATCAAAAAAAATATGATAATAAAATAAACGTTGAATACCGTAGTTGTAAGTAAAAGGAATTGGCCAGTGGCATTCAAACTATGCTTATAATATATTATTATAAACTTATCATGTATCTAATATTACAAGTATTATAACTATGTACATATGTATATATTACTACCATAAAAATTACAAATTTAAAACTTCGCTAATACAGAAAAGTCAAAAATTTGAGGTTAGAGTCGTTCAGAAACAATCAAAATGTTTTCACTAGCTAATAATTAACATGACTGTTTATAAGAAATTGTGACAAGCAAAAACTAACATTAGTAAGAATTTCTCACCAAAATAATAGTTACTAAATAACCTTTTACTAAATAAACTTTTTTGTTCGAGAAGTGATGAACTTGGCAATGTAGGTGTCCTTAAACACTTTCAGTTTTAAGGCTAGATATTTCCAAATGTGAAATGTTTATATAGCAAACCAATAGAGGGAGAGTGAGAATAACTCTAAAGTTTAACCCTTTAACGTATGTTTCTGCCAACCGAGATCCGGTTAGCGTTTCTCTCAAAACTACATTTTTAAAATTTGATTGCGTGATTACTCGACGCAAATGATCTGATCACTATAAATTTTTAGCTTGTTCTCCATACAATGACCTACCTTTATTTGATCTGACCAAAAATACGGATAATATCTTCAGCAGTGATTTTTTTTTAGGTTTCAGCCATGGACAGCCAGAGCCATGAGAAGGCTGGAATCACTCCAGCAGTGGAGAACTTTTTTTTTTAACGCCGTCAGAAATTGCGTGTAACTCGAAAAATATTTAATTTTTATAATTCCAAAAATCTTTTTTTTTTGCTGTCACACTACCAGTAGGTTCCCTTAAGAAACATTAATACATACAGGATAGAATTTTATTATAGCTTCGCATGTGGCTTATGTCAATTAAATTTGAAATCAGTTCGGATTAAGCAGTTGGCTTTAAAGAAATAAATCTTTTGGGGTTCTTCAGTTTAAGCCTGAAATTCCTCTCGAAGTAGATGCAGTATTTCACGAATGATCATCTCACATTGCTCAGTGTGCATAAAGGCAGACTTTAAACCAGTTGGAAAAATATAGATTATAAAAAAAGAAAATTTATTTTAACATCTTTTTCTTGTCCAAAAAAAAATTTAATTCGAAATTTACTTTTAAACTGAGTGGGCCGCCTCTAGATGTTAAAAAAAAATTGTTGGACAAAAAAAAATTTTTTTGTTTTATAATTTACAGATTTTACCCTCAGACTATGCAAAAAAAATATGTATATATATTATATATATCGGTTACTGAAAAACTAGTTGATATCATACACAATATTTATATACTTCATATTTACGGCAAGCTGAAAACATCTCTCCCTCTCTCTTTCTTTCTATCTCTCTCTCCGTCTCCACCTCTCTCTCTCTCTGTTGACTCTGTCCATCTACTTATGGTAATCTTTAAATCGCTCCGTGTGTCAGTCTCTATAGCCTAACTTTCACTCAATTGCTTCTACTAAATAAAATAAATACAAGATATGGAACCAGAAAACTTAAAACAAGTTTTAACAAGTTTAAATTTCTCTGCAAGTTTTCTCTTTTAACAAGTTTTAAGTTCTCTGCTCTGATTGAACAACAGTATGTGCATATTAAGACATCATCGCTCAATAACCAACCTACACTTTTCGCGGTACTACTCAATTAAAATGTTTATATTATATAATGATATATGTTTATATAATGAATAATAAATAATGATTTCAGTAACAGTATTACTGGTGAAGCTTCCGAAATAGAATACATAATTTGAGAAAACTGCTCAATCGCTTGAAAAGTATATGTATGTACATACCTATATAATAATTGTAAAAAAAGTTAAAAATAACCTTAAAATCGAGTATACACATATGTATAATATATAATATTTAAGAACTTCGTGCTGTAAATTTAATAAATAATATAGACGTTAATATAAAAAGTAACTGCTTAAATAGAAAAATATATTGTAATATCAACAACATATTTAATAGTTAATGTATTTATTAAAAATATATTATTTATCGCAGCTACTTTCTAAGGCAACTCAATTATTTTTAAGCAGAATTTAGACGTAATAGTATTTATTCTTAGAAACTAACTATATATATTTAATCGATATAAAAAGTAAAGTTGTTTAATCGTCAGTCAATTCAATCTAAATAAAAATACAATAAAAACATGCTTAATCAAACTAAACTGGGACAATTTTGTATACTTCGTAAACTTTCTGTGATATACATACTTGTTATTATTTTATTTATTATTATAATTATTATTTTATTATTATTATTATTTTTATTTTTATTATTATTATTATTACTATTATTATTATTATTATTATTATTATTTTTATTATTATTTTAATATCATTATTATCAGTTTGAAATAAATTGAGCTATCGTTTTTTGCCTATATTAATACTTTTATACTTCCCAACATTTTTCAACGATTTAATGTTTTTTAATAATTTCCTAATATATATATTAAAATATGTTTTTTGTTGCATGAAATTATTTATTTTAATTTTTTTTTGTGTTTTTATATACATTTTTTTATTTATATTTTATTCTTGTTTTCGTTTTAGTTTTAAATTTGATGGGAATAGTTTTAAAGATGGAATTCTGCCTGCAACAACAAAACTACATATTTTTAATATTGATTACCTAAGATTTCAAGTTAAAAAGTGGTAAGTCAAGATTTATTTATTATTTTTGCATAATTTTAAAAATAGATCTCTTCATATACAATTGCAAACACCGGAAGCATAAAAGTAACTTTTCATTATAGTGATAAATTGGTCGGGCTGGTTGCTCCCTCAACTTAATACTCGTATGTATTTTTTAATGGTTTTTACTAAACAAATTTTGAACTTTTTTAATCGACAAACGTCAGATTATATATATATTCTTGCGTATATATATATATATACGAACTGTAAATAGACAGAATTCATCTGAACAACAAATTTAGTCTAGCTCATATCACCAAGTCGTATGTATTAGAGTGAAGCGAAAAAAAAAATTTTTTTTTGGTTAGCCTGAGGGTCAAAATTGTAGATTATAAAAAAAGAAAATTTTTGGAAAAAAAAATTTTTTAACATCTAGGGCAGCCTATAGTAAATTTTCGAGTTAAAATTTTTATTTCGTAAAAAAGTTTTAATAAGTGTTCGAGAAGCTGTGGAAAGTCCTCTTTCTGGCCAATTAAAAGTTATCAACTTAAAAATAGTTTTTGTGGTCATTATTGGAGTTTTAAAAAATGTCTTAAACGACAACATGCTTTCCTTAAGCGTTAAAATAAATTTTGAGTCAAAAACCGTCACATTCGGTAGTTTTAATATAAATGTGAAGAGTTTAAATCAAAAATAATTTTTTCTTATCCAAAAAAAATTTTAACTTGAAATTTACTTTAAAAGTGATGTTAAAAAAATTGTTATTTTCCAAAATTTTTCTTTTTTTATAATCTGCAAATTTGACCCTCAGGCTAGCTCATAGTTGCCTGCAAACAAATCATATGAGCTTAGAAATACAGTACTTATTTCAAAGAAAGAAGAATGAGGTATTCATTAGATCATTATAGCGGATTTAAGTAAATATTCTTTGATCACCAAATTGAAAGTGTTCTTTATACTCGAATAATCACACGAATTGATTGTTGTTGTTGAAACAATTTTCTTAACCCTCTGTTGGAAGCAGGGTAGAACCATTGTCATTCAAGTCATCCAATGGTAGGTTCAGGAAACAAACAGTTTCAACACAGGTTGAATCACAGGAAAAGCAATCAGAAATTAATAGTCTTGAGTAAGTACCTATGCAAAAAATTCCAAGAAGCTAGTATACAGCCGATCAATGTCAACATTAAATCATACTGCGATCTCCAAACTTGAACATATGGAAGTAGACCAATTTATGCACAGGGAGTTATTTAAAGGTGTGTTGAAAATTATGTTTGGTAGTTTAGGGTTCAGAATCAATTCATTCTTGTTTCAAGTGGAATTTATTTGGTGCAGTTAATTGGCTGGAAAGACGTCAAGAGTAAAAAATGTCCTCTCACAGCTTGCCCAGTCACACTTTTCGTATATTATCAAATAAATTTTTTGTCGATAAAAAGTTGTTTTTGTTGTAGAACTATATAATTTTAGACAGTTTCCTAAACTGAAAGCTATTGCACTCAATCAGAGTCATCTCCCATAGTTCTTCACCCCTTCTAAGGCCATTTTGTGAGCGTACTACTCGAACCGACCTCTTTAGAAGCTTCTGCGCTTACTATCTTCATTTGGTATTTAAAAATTTACTGAAATTTCGTGACTTTCCGTTGTAAAGTTCGTCGAATGCGGCAGACACAGCATGGGCAAAAGGCAATAAAAATCCGTCACGGTCAAGAAATTACAAAACCAAAGACAATACCATTGACACACGCACACAAGGTATGTGACGACAGACGATAATTTTCACTTACACACGAACTACCCACGAGCGGCATGAAAATAGAAGCTGCCACTCCATTCTGGCGCCACCGAAAGATCGAGTAATGCTGTAACGGTGAATGTGCATACAAGTAGATTAGTCAAGTATGGCAGCACGATGACAACGAAAGGCCGCAGCGGTGAGCGTGGCAAGAAGTCGGCGGCAGTATTGTTACTTTTAGAGACGAATACGAAGGTGGCGAAGAACTCGTATGTCTGAGTGTTAACAGTATGCATGCAAACGGCGAGAAGTTGATGGAGAAGCTTGGATAACATTTGGCTTGATGGCCGAAAAACGCGAAGCCACACAT